CTTTTCGATCTCTTTTGATCTCCATGCCAAAGATTTTCTTAGCTTCTCCCAAATCTTTCATCTCAAATTCACTTTTCAACTAACTTTTCAAATTGTGAATTTCTGTTAAATCCTTAGCAGCAATAAGCATGTCATCAACATAAAGTAATAAGTACACAAATAAACTATCATTTAACTTCCGGAAGTAAACGCAACTATCATATATGCTCCTCGAATAACCATGACCCAACATAAAGGAATCAAACCTTTTGTACCATTGTCTTGGAGACTGCTTTAATCCGTACAAGGATTTCTTCAACAAGCAAACATGATCTTCTTTTCCTTCAACTTCAAATCCTTCGGATTGATGCATGTATATTTGTTCCTCAAGTTCGTCATGTAAGAAAGTTGTCTTAACATCAAGTTGTTCTAATTCCAAATCATACATGACAACGAAGGCAAGCAAGATACGAATAGAGCTATGTTTAACAACATGTGAGAAAATATTATTAAAATCAACTCCTTGTACCTGACTATAACCCTTTGCAACTAATCGTGCCTTATACCTCGCATCTTCAACCCCTGGAATGCCATCTTTTTTCTTGAAGACTCATTTGCAACCAACAACTCTTTTTCCTGATGGCGGCTTCACAAGAGACCAAGTACCATTCTTGTGGAGAGACTCATTTTCTTCATTCATTGCAATCAGCCACTTGGCTGAGTCAGCACCAGAAACTACTTCTGAATATTTTGATGGTTCTCCAATTTCTTCAGTTTCCTGTGCAACTGAAAAAGCAAATGCAACATAATCTCCAAACCTTAATGGTTGTTTACCTTCTCTTCTTGGTCTATGTTTGGCTATAGAATACTCCTCTTCTTCTGGTTCAACTTCAGGAGTCTCAACTTCAGGAATTTTAGCTATTGTCCCAACTTCAGGAGTTTCAACTGTATTTTGCTCCAAAATTGATGAGCTTGGCTCAAAAGGAATGCCAATCTCAATCTCTACCTGATTCTGTGTACTCTTTCCTTTATCTATATTACAAGAACTAAAAGACTCTTTTCTAGAATGTAACATAGAGGATTCATCAAAGGTTACATCTCTGCTAATTATAAATTTTGGTACCGTGGGATCAGGATACCATAAACGGTATCCTTTCACCCCAGATGCATACCCAAGGAAAATACACTTTTTAGCCCTTGGCTCTAATTTTTCATCATTTACATGCATGTATGCAGGGCAACCAAATATCTTTAAATAAGAATAATTAGCAGGAGTACCTGACCACATTTCCTCTGGAGTCTTAAAGTTCAAAGGTGCAGAAGGAGCTCGGTTGACAATATAACAAGCTGTAGAGATAGCTTCTGCCCAAAAGGCGTTTGTCAACCCAGCATTTGAAATCATGCAACGAGCCCTTTCCAAAAGAGTTCTATTCATCCTTTCTGCCACACCATTTTGCTGAGGTGTCATTCTCACAGTACGATGTCGAGCAATTCCTTCATTCTTGCAAAATTCGTTGAATTCATCATTACAAAATTCCAAGCCATTATCTATTCTAAGCAATTAACTTGTTTTCCTATTTGTTTCTCAATCAAAACTTTTTATTGTTTGAAATTTAAGAAAATATCACTTTTATTTTTCAGGAAATAAATCCAAACTTTTCTTGAATAATCATAAATGAAAGTTAACATATACCTGGCACCACCTTTTGATGGAGTACGTGAAGGACCCCAAAGATCTGAATGAATGTAATCCAAAGTACCTTTTGTTCTATGAATCACTGGAGATTTGAAGCTGACTCTTTTCTGCTTCCCGAACACACAATGTTTACAGAACTCTATATTTTCGGTACTTTGGCCACATAAGAGACCTCTTTTGCTAAGGATGAAAAGACCTTTTTCATTCATATGCCACAATTTGGTGATGTCAGAATCTGATTTATCTGATATTGAAACTGCAGCAGCACCTGTAACAGTATATCCCAAAAGAGTATATAACGTACCAGATCTGCGTGCTTTCATGATCACAAGAGCACCATGAGAAATTTTCAGAACTCCACCTTCACATGTGTACTTGCACCCAAGAGATTCTAGAGTGCCCAAAGAGATGAGATTTTTCTTCAAGTCAGGAACATGTCTAACATCGGTGAGAGTTTTCACCACACCATCGTGCATTTTGATTCAAACTGTACCTTTTTCAATAACTCTGCAGGTAGCATTGTTGCCCATCAAGACAACTCCACCTCCAATAGATTCATATATGGTAAATAAATCCCGATTGGGAAATGATAAGAACAACCCGAATCTAAAATTCACTCATTGTTATATTTGAAACTATTATTAGTTGCTAAAAAAATAGTTCCCTCGGTCTCATCAGCAGCTACACTTGTTTCGACAGTGTCAGTATTTTTGTGCTCATTTTTCTTTTCTGTATGCTTTTCTTTGTTTTTCAATTTAAAGCATTCAGAAATAATGTGACCTTTCTTATGACAATATTTGCACATGACATTTTTGTATCTATATTTTGACATTGATTTAGGTTTCTCACTACTTGAATTTTTCTTATTGGATCTACCTCTTATAAATCTATAAGAACGGAATCAAAAGTATCAAGATATGTAAGTATCGAGGTACCTTCAGCCATACGAAAAGTGTAGAGTTTTTGATTTAGGTAAAGCATGTTTTCTACTATTCTTTTCATATATATGGTTTTAAGCTTTTCCCATATACCTTTGGCTGAGCTTTCTGCTGCAACTTCACGCAAAACCTCATTTGAAAGATTTAAAATAATACCTTCTTTTGCCTTTTTGTCTATAACGGCAAACTCCTCGTCCGTCATTTTATCCAGCATCTTCTCCTTTCCTTGCAGTGCCAAATCTAAGTCATCCTGAATTAGGATAGCTTCCATATTTAATTGTCACATTTCGAAGTTTGCGCTTCGGTCAAATTTCTCAACATAAGACTTTGTTAGAGTCATTTTGGCTATTTAAACTAACCCGGTTAGATCTGGCTCTGATACCAATTTGTTAGGATCGGTAAAACGGGTAGTGCAGAATTTAGCAAAATAATGTTATAATGACAATAACAAAGACAATGCAAGTTGATAATAACGGCAATTAAAGAAGATAAAGAAGACACAAATTTAACGTGGTTCGGTCAAGGTGACCTACATCCACAAGCGGAGAGGAGCAATTTTACTATACCAACAAGAGTACAAAAGAAAGTATAAAATTAGAGTGAATACTCTAATTAGTCTCAAATACCCCAAGAGAATAACCTCACAAGATCACTCCAAAGAAAGGATTCACACAAGTGCTTCCCAACACTCACTCTCTTACAAAATACTCTATAATGAAATAAAGAAGGAGAGAGAAAGACAAGAGTGAAAAACTCTTGAATTGGTGTGTTTACAAATAAGGAGAAACTCATCTATTTATAGCAAGAAATCCTTTATCTAATAGTGGATATTATGTCATGGCAAATGTCATGATCCACAAATTTTATTATAGTGGATATTATGTCATGGCAAATGTCATGAAAATTTGGCCACCACTTAAGAAGAAGTCAAATTAATGGCCATATTACAAATGCAAATATTTTAATTTAAATGAGACGAAGGTTATTTAATGAATTTCTAATTTAAGGAAGACCAATGAGCAAAAAATAAAACATATAAAAAAATATAACGAATTTCTTTTGTTCATATAATTCTTCTGAATATTTTATCAATTCCTATTTTTTAAACGTTTCAGAACTAGGCTGTCGTAACTCATACCAACTTCAATGATGGGCATTGTCGATAGTTTTCACGTTAATCTTGGTTTGATCTCATATTACCAAATTTAACTTCAATTAATTGAAATATTTTTCAAATTTAACTTCTGGTGCCAAATTGGTAATGACATTAACAATCAGGTTATAAATGACTTTGAATTTTAGTAATTTCACATTGATTACTCTTTGTTCTTTTTTAGCCTTTGCCCATTTCATAGAGTACGTGATGAAACACCCACACGTACGTTCTAAGCGACTATTTTTCAGTACACAATTGATTTTTATCCTTCAAACAAACATGTTTTGTTTTTGAAAAAGATTTTAGGATAATTTTTTTAAAAATCTATTTCAAAGAAAAACCTGTTTGGATAGTTTTTGCTTAATAATTTGTTTAACCAGACTTTTTATATATTGTTTTTTAACATCCCCGTCTATGTTAGTTTTACATCGTATATGAATTTACACTGCCGTGCAGTAGTGAGCTAAGACACAGAGAGAGTTGTGGACTTGTGGTAGGTAGATGGCTAGTAATAAAATTTCTCATGTATGATATATCATTATAATAATAATATTGAGTTCATTAGGATGTAGAAATGAAATATTCCAAATGAAGGGAACAGAGATATTGAGGATTCATATACTTAATCCGAATTAATTTGGATTGACGTGCATTTATTTTTTAGCCAATTTTAACTTTCTTTAGATAAATATATTGTTATCAGGTAAACTTGTATTTAATTCAGGAAAAGAAATTTTTTTTATTTAATTTCTCCCATCGACCCTAGTTTCCACGAGGGCAATTTGGATTGACCCTAGGCATTCCGAGTGGTAGCAAGCAGGGCAAGAAGATAAAGTCCAATCTGCCCCTAAACAAATTTTTGACATCTTTCTCGCATCCGTTTTCAAGTTTGACATGACATAATTCAATCTGCCGATTAATTTTTTGTTTCCATTATGAAACATTTGATGCCTTTGGCCTCTCAAACTCTCAAAATAGAAAGATTATAACAAGAGACGAACAGTACAATAAAAAACAGTATAAAGCCAAGATGCTTTTTCTCTTGATGTCATAGTGATAAAAACAAGGTTTTCCAAAATTAATACAACCAATATTTACATAATCCAACTAAGGTTTGCAAAATCCAAAATTGGTTTTTTAAATCCTTGAAACCATCACAGCCAGCTGTTCCCTTCACATAAAAGTCTAAACAATCACTGCGATATATATACTTCTGGAACCAAAAGTGAAAACTCGTTTTGCTTTTGTCCATTCCAAAGCGCTAGAATGGGAGAAAATGGAGAGAACACTTGTGAAGTGGAACAAGCACCAAGTTTGAAGCCAAGATTGGAACACAACGAAGAGATGGGTATGAAAATCCAAAGGGAGGAGGAGGCCTATAGATTGTTTGCAGGATATGAAGAGAAGCCAACAAAAACTGAAGTATTTGGTTGGTATTTCTATGGGATGTGCTCTTATTTCATTCACACAGTTCTGATTCCCATTGTTTTTCCTCTCATTCTGAGCCAAACTGTGTCCTGGCCATCACAGCCTCAACATCGTCTTGTTAAGAATTCCAGGGGTCTCGAGTGTAGACAAAGGGAGTTACAACTGTAAGTACACTAGTATATAACTAAGACATATCTTAAATGTATGAAGACTGCTATGTATCACTTGAAATAAATATTTGTGCTTTGTTTACGCCAAACAAATGAATGCATGCATAATATGTGTCCTCTACATACACTTTTGACCATGGTTAACTAATATGTATCCCCAACTAAATTTATACTTAACCATGGTAAACTCGTATATTTTGGTATAAACATCTTGTGTGAGTGCGTTTTCCGCAGTTCAATCATTTCAGTACAAAAAAATGGTCACACAGGCTACAGATCTTGCTATACATTAAAATTTTATAGCTAATTATATAGGAATCGAGTATCATATCCAAATATTCAACTGATCGATTTACTCTCAAGGACGATAAAGGGGAGATCTGCCAAATTAAATGGAGGGAATTTTTTAAATCTTTGTCCCTTTAGTATTGGTGTTGTTTTAGGAAACGAAAAATGATCTTGTTATATTGGCGGCAAACTGATTGTGTCGCTAATTCAAGAGGCTACTATTGCATCGCATTTTGATGCAGGATAAGAAATTTCCGCATGTATAGTTGATCTTTTTTTTATAGCGCTTAATTAGTTTGTTCAGTTGTTATTCAATAAAAGGATTTGATTGGTACTAACTGTGATTAATTAATTAAACCTGCTACTTTGTCCAAATCCAGGTATAAAATGTTAACAAATCATAAAATGAAGCTCTTGAGTGTTGAATTTTCAGCACTGGAGTGGACTTCAGTTTCTTGGCTAATAGGCCTAATTCTGGCCGCACCAATTCTTGGTATTCTTTCCATCCACCTAGACTATGGCAGGAAACAACAGTTCATTTCTGCTGCAGTAACCGCCGTTGGTGCTGTCTTCTGCCTTCCTGCTGGATTTTTCAAGACTAGATGGATCTTTCCACCTTATATCGCTGCTGTTGTTGCAGCCAACACTATAGCTGGAGCTTGCCACGCCCGTCACCTAGGCCTAATGGTTCGTGGACTTGTTGGCTCACCTATCCGAAAGAGCCAATTTCCGGATAGAAGAGCTGTGGCTAGTTGGCTATCTCTTCATTCTACTGCTGCTGGCTGCTTAGGAGCTGGCATAATCTCTGCTTTTACTTATCATATGCTCGGGAAATCTGATGATAGCTTCACTAGCTTGTGGGTTGTTGCAATTTTTAGTGGTCTAATATGGTTTATTGGAATTGTTCATATTATAAGCACGAATAGACCAGGCCCTAATGCAGATATTCCCTCAAATTCTGTTCCGAAAACTCATGTTATTTCCATTTTCGAGTACCCTCATGCAGCTGGAAGCCTTGCTGGAGTGTTTCTTTCATCTTTCACAACAATGTGCATTTTCACAGGAGGGATACTTTATTCAATTGGAGACCTATGCATTACACCAGTGAACATTTTATACATTTGGCTGACCTATTTCATATTCCCATTGATTTCTCTTCCATTGGCTCATCCATTGCAGTTAGTTATGAGGGCAGATGCTGTGAAAATGCAGCTTCTTGGTTTCATATTATCAGCAGTTGTATCGGGATTCGGATTCTATTATCACCATCAGAATTGGAATAAGGTTCATATACTTGTTTTGGCTGCAGTTCAGAGTACAGCAACAGGGATTTTGCATGCATTTGGAAGAGTGCTTTGGTTGGATTGCTCACCAGCAGGAAAAGAAGGTGCTTTCTCAGTTTGGTTCTCATGGACAAGAGCTTTAGGTACTTGTGCTGGTTTTGCACTTGCATCAGTTTTCCCTGGACAAATCAGCAAGTTATTTGGGATAGCATTTTGTGCTGCAATTCTTGGGAAAATTATCCTCATATTTGGGAATATCAGTAACTTTGCAGGAGCTAAAGCTGCTGGACATGTGAAAGAGCATAGTGAAAAAGGTTCACCAATGACTGCCTTGGGTAGTGGTGCTGAAATGAAGGTACCTTTGTCCACAGAAGCCCAAGAAGAAGTGAGAGTTCAGCTCTAGTTGCTTTTTCCTTCTTTGTCCTTTTTTTGCAAAATTTTCTGTTGGATTATTTTAAAATAAGATTCTTGCCATCTTGTGCATGTACCTAGTAAACTTTTCTATGTATCATGGATTTTGCTTTGAAATCTTCATTCTTTTCTTGTGAACATAGAGAAAATTCATGAGAAAAACTGTCTTCTTACTTGCTATATATGGCTTTTTGTTTGAGAGGATCAAACTGGGAACTACAGCAATATTTGTTTTTAATATTTAAAGAGTTCCAGCTACTCTGTGAACGGATGTTTGATGAGAACTTTACATATCTCATCTATGAAATTTTGTGTCTTTGTGTGTATTAATCATTGCACAGATGAAAGTTTGCATGTGAAAAACTTTTGCTGGGAACAGTGTGTTGGGTTTTTAACTTAGGCTAACCACTTAGTTTTTCTTCGTTTTTGCTTTGTTTAGTTAGAAACTACGTAGAAAGCTTTATCTAGTTAGAACCATTCGCCAAGATTAAGCTTTATTGTCTGACAAGTTTTTGTCCATTTCTTAGTGCTAGCAAGTGGAAAATAGACTAGGGATCATTCTTCTTTTGGCATTAGCATGTTGGAGTACCTACAATTCTCTTCTTAATAAGTACAATCTTGAACATTAGTTTGAAATTGACATGAAATATATGTGATAATCAATGGGAAACCTGATTGTTCATTTTCCCTTGGAATAACATTTGATCAAGTCAACAGTTCGACATTTTTAATGAGGTGGTTAGCACTTTGACACCAAAAATTATGATTAACAACTTATTCCGAAAACTCACATAATTTAACTATTTACTCACCATATTTCCTGACAAACACAACCGCTTGACTAGTATGAATTTGTGTCATTGCTAAATTGCTTTATATTAGATTACGTACTTTAACTTGCTCTCTTTTAGACTCTTCAACGTGTTGTAAAATAAATCCTGTGAAAATTGCTAGGCTTTCCAGAAGTCGTCTAAAAATATGTAAAATAATCAGTTTATATTTGTATCACAGTTGGAAAAGTTAGTTAAACTACCAGAAACATGTTGAAGACTTCTCCACTTGAATATCAGAGAATATTTTGAGTTCGAACGACTTGCTCCTGAGATCATCTCTAGGTAATCTTATTTGTTCTTACGAAACCTCTCAAAATCCACTCATTTGCCAGAGAATGTAAAAGCTTTGTTATGAACGACCTGAAACAAAAGATGTTACATTTTTTACTTAAAAAATCTTCTACACTAGAAGCTGATACCAGAGGAGAAACCAATAGAATGAGAAGAGTAAAAAAAGCCTCTAAAGCGCAGCAAGGGCGTAGAACTACAAATGCTTCAACCACAAAAGTTGAGCTTCTTCATCACTTTTGCATAAGCCAAAGGGACAGTAGCAGGTTGCCTGAGACGACGTTTTGATTTCTTAGACTGCAGCAATCAATAAAACTAGTTTAACAACACATCGAAGTTATAAGAATGCCAGTGTACAAACACAATACCATGCAGATAATTCAACACAGAAGATGGGAGCTCAACTTCGGTTAGGTGCTCAAGGATCTCTTTTTAATGATAAATGTGTCATTTTGTTGATGTGTAAAGAGCACCATGGAGGAGGAGAAACATGGAATTCTACCTTTTTATTCTTAAAAAAAGTGTACTCCAGCATATTTGACCTTGCTATATTTCTACATATCCAAGAATCTACCATAAAATCAACTTCTGAAGTCCTTGAGTTCAGGAAAATCCAAAGATTTGCCTACCAAAACCCGTGGTGGGAAATAGCAAGTACTCGGTGTGTGCAAACTTTCCCCGACACTACCGTCATCAACAACTACGCCTCCATCCCAAACAAGTTGGGGACACCACTCAATGAAGGCATAAGATAAGAGTGATTCAGAAGCTGTGATATCTTACGGCAGACTTCACCTTGTTAAGGAAATTTTGAACTTACTATTCCTCTTAACAAGCGGAATACTCTGCAGTTGAGCAGAAATCAAATCTAATTTAGACTAGTTCAGCCTGACAGCTTGCAAGATTATGTTCCCACAGGACTTTAGTTTAATACATCCCACATCAAATACTGTATTACCGCACCAAGTTACACTTAGCTGTGATGCACAATATCGTAATTAACTACGCCGATATTAACTAATTGGAGAAAGAAAAGCAATGCCAACTCATTAGTAAGTGTTTCTATGCAATTCGGTTGAGGATGGATTTTACATTCGATACATAGTAGTTAAGAAACAAATGACAACCAATGAATCAATCAATCATGCCTCAAAACAAAATTAGTTGAATAGGCTATATGGATCTTCTTTATCCATTCTACTCTATTCAGCTCCCACTCCAAGACTTAACAATTTGTATTTTGATGCAAATTAGTGGTTCTCTAAAACTTAAGGTTCTCTTGATCTTGCATTTATTTCCACACATATAAGTCTAACCAGAACCAAAAGACTCCCGAAAGCACCACACCAAATGTAAGTGTAAAATTAACAGTTAAACCTCAATCCTAACTAGTTGGTATAACATATATTGTTTATTTGCTTTAATTGGGTCATCTTCTTGGCTAAGCCTATATTAATTTCGAAAGATTGTCAAGTATATTGAAATTTCTACCTCATCGCATTTTACCACTTTCTATCATCATATTGTCGCACTCGCATGTATAGACAAGTACATCTTAAGGTCTTACGTAGGACATGAAAAAGCCATCTTAGTTCACCTTCTCTTTTTCATCCTCTGTGTTACTTGCACCATCGGTTAGATGTGATCATTTCTAATCTTGTTCAAGCTTCCATGAGCGCACAAATATCTTAGCATTCACATTTTTACGACATTCATCTTGTGAATTTATCAAATATGAAGATTCTTCAGCCAATCAATAAGAGAAAAAGGAAGAAATGATGGAAAGGATTACATGGACACTCCCACTCACCATGGAATGCAAAAACTTAGGCACCAGCTTTCTTTTAGAACCTAGGGAGAGCTGATACAAAAACAGATGGGGCAAAACTAGAAGTTCCGTAGGATCACTATTCACCAGTGTAGTAGAATCGTAGTTGTGGTCCTGTAGCACTCTATAATGCTTAGGTTATTAATTCAGCTTCTATCTTTTACTTATTCTAGGCAAATTTTGATTATTTGGTTCCTAGTTTTCTGGATTTCTTTTATATTATTTTCCTTCCTTTTATGTAGTTTGTTGATCTGCAATTTCTTAATATCAGCTATTCCTGCCTTTTATGTTTTTTTCAAGAACTTCTATAACGTGCTAAAAGGAACATCTTCAAGGATTTTGCACAATTTCCTCTAAGAAATAGGGCTTCAACTGAACCAAAGTGAACCCTTCCCACTCGTGCTCCTCTTGTGTCACTACAGAATACAAATCAATTTTTCGACATGCACTAGCAGCTGGTCAAGTTAACCTGCAATTCTGATTATTAGTACATCTTAATTTCTCTAGGTGTTTGAAAGCTTTTAGTCAAGCTTAGTGATCAAACTTTTATGACTGCATTTGTTTAATTGACTACCCTCTGTTGCCTAACCTTTAACCAAAACTCAGCATACTAGAACAACCTAAAAGACACCAAAACACGCAATAAAACCCCAAGATAAAGATTGCCCAGAATGCTCCTCGCAACATAAATACAGATAAACTTGGACAGAAAAATGAACTTTAGTGTGAAATCCTTCTAAAAGGCAACACGAACTTTGATAATTAAGATAAAAGAAAATAATTCAGATCTTTCCTTTTTGTGATAAGTATGAACATTAAATTCATAGTTCCTGCACTTATAGCAATCTTCATTCTAAACGTAATTTTCTGCATCACATATGGCCTGCCAAAATTTATTAAAAATGCACTGAAAGGAATGCAATCCACTTAGAGGCTTTTACTTTTATCTTTTGCCCTCAACACGTAAGATCGAAAAAGAAGCTTTATTTTGTTTTGCCTTCTATCCCTCTAGCAAAAAAGATAACACTTGCTTGCCACTTGAGTCTAAAGCCAATTTCAAGAGACCTTTTTTTAATAAGGAAATTCATGAATTTCGTGAACCTTGTATACCACTACACCATGCTGCCGGTTAGGAAACTCTCAATATCTAGATTAGTCAGAAAAGCCTTGATCCATTTCTATAGTCTTAGTTGACAAAAGTTGAAATCCTAATTTTCTTAGAGCACAAGTTTGATCCCGCAAGGGCCTACAACCACAGTAAGTTTGCTCCAAAAAAAACTTCAATTCAATAAGTCGTACAAATCCTTTACACATTCTCATTCCTGATTCATAACTAGTTTCACTGCATATTGGATTCCAGATTTCTTCCTTACAGCATTTCCCTTATTTATTTTTTGATAAGGAACATTTCCCTTATTTATTTAAACTCCAACATCTGAAAGCTCCAATTTAGAGGTCTCACCAAAGTCCAAACTTCCTTAATCCCTAATTTCTTTCTCCTAAACAGGTGTCACAAATCATCAACTAACGATTGACAGACAGCCCTAGATTTTCACTTAGATTTTAGTTCATTACATCTTTGAACCCTACATCAACTGGATTGTTAAACCATTTCAATGTATTAAGCAAAAAGAATCCTATCAATTCAATAAGTTTAGCACCCTTCGATCACATGAGCTCATTTCAGGAAGTAATGACTACTTTACAAGTTATGCACCTATTCACAAACTTGAACAATTGCAACAGCAAGGTTTAATCTTCCCACTCATTGCCAAAGAGTAACCAAGTTTCTTGCATGGTGGGAAGAAAGATATACGCTTTCACCGAGAAGCATTCTTCTCCCCCCCCCCCCC